GTGTGTGCGCGTGTCATTGCATTATCCACTTAATACCATCAACAAATGTGTGTGTGTTACTAAATGTGTGTTTGTCACTAAATGTGTTGTCTCTAAATGTTTGTCAATAAATGTGTGTTTACACAAAAATTTCTGGACCCGTCAACAGGATCATGGATTCTAAAGGTGTATTTATTTTACTTACTGTTTCGAGAGTCATTTCAAAATAACAGCAACAAATTTTACTCTTAAAACTTTAGTACAGTTTGACCGACGACTGTTTGACCGAGAACGCCACCTTTATCATACTTTACCAGTTTTATTTTTACAAAAAAAACTCTTAGCAGCTCTAACTTTTGTCTGTGAGGAGGAGGTGAGCATTTAGGCCTCACCGAAATTCGTGATGCAGTTATTATCTTTACACATTTACCCATCATACATGAATTTTTCTAATTTTTTAAATAGTTTTTATAATTTTTCCTATATAGTTTTTTAAATATTAAAATTTTTATAATTTTTCATCATGTATATAAAGTTTGCTAACAAACTCGTGCCGTTAAAAACTCATCAGATAATAATTCAAAAATTTTCCTTGAAACTTTTATTTGTTTATCACAGTAGTAAAACAATCGCTAAAAAAAATGCAGATATTTTTCATTCAAAGTTTTTATTGATTTGGCCGGAGTTAATTCAAATAATAGAACTAATAGAGCGTTACAAAGAATATTCCAGTAGATCACCAAACACAAATCTTACCAATAGCTGCAGACTTGACAAATAACCGCTCTAAAGCAGACTTTCTATAAAACTGCTGTTAATGGTTTTGGAAGCAACTGTAACAAGTATACTTTTGAAAACGGTTGCTAACCTGGTACAATTCGGACTACAATCAAAAGGCCGTTTTTTTACCGATTTTTTTACCCATAGACGGTTGATAAATACGTTTTCTAGGTATCAAAGCTTTCGAAAGAGTTGGCATGTATTTTTCACGCAACTGCAGCTGTGTTATAACAGATTTTTTCCAAAAAACTCTTAAATATCAGAAAGATTTGTCATTAGTTACTTGCCATTTTCATTCATACTATCAATAAAGAAAATGTTATCTGTTACCGTTTTCACTATATTTTCAACCTTTTTCAGTAAAAAATATGAACATTATTTTTATATGTGATTTCAGATAGTTTGGCTAGTTTATTGAAAGTTCTGGAAACAAGATGAGACGTGTGTAATTTGAAAATATGACATCTAAAGGTATTAACCGTGTTGTTTGAAATAATGACATCAAAAAAAGTTTTCAAACAACACAAAAGTGTTGTTTGAAAACTTTTTTTTTTTTTCAATTTTAGATGCACCTAGAAGTCCTTATGATAACTACAATAACTTATAACAAAGCATCACGGAAGAGTATTTGAAAGGAAGTTCACGCCTCCTTCCTTACCAATGTTATAAAACTTGCCAATGTTATAAAACACGGATCTCTAGCTTCTTAGGCAAGCGCGCTAACCTCTGTACAATGGCTGTTTTTAAAAAACTCTTAAGGCTGTTCTTAAAACATGACATCTAAATAAATTAACATTGTTGTTTGTAAACTTGACATCTAAATGTATTAACGGGAGGCTGAATAAGGGCAAATTTCATAAGTGCGAACTCGCATAAGTGTATATTGGTTTAAGTGCGAAGACTAAATTTGCAAACATTCAGTACCAACTGGCATAAGTGCAAACTGGCATAAGTGCGAAGCAGTTTCAAAAACTGGCATAAGTGCGACCTGGCATAAATGTAAATTGGTATATGTGCGCCGAACAAATTTGCAAATATTGGCTTTAAGTGCAAATTGTGATTTCTCACTCATGCCAGTTCGCACTTATGTCAATATTTGTAATTTCATTCGGGGCACTTGAGCGAGTTTGTTGTTTATGCCGATTCGCACTCATGTCAGTTTTTGCAACTGCTTTGCACTATGCCAGTTTGCACTTATGACAGTTCGCATTTATGCCAATGTTTGCAAATTTATTCGGCTAGTTCGTACTTATGCCAATTCGTACTTACGCCAATGTTTGTAAATTTATTCGCTGCACTTATGTTAATTTGCATTAATGTCAGTTTGCACTTATGCCAGTTTCTGTAATTGATTCGCACTTATGCCAGTTTGCATTCATTTGAAGCTTTTCAATTTAAAACTAATTTATGATTTGCGAGCCGCATTCTGGTGACATCTAACATAAAGTTAGAAAGTTCTACTTAGGTAAAAGATTCTACCATTTTTTGCGACTTAAAATTAAGAGACAATTTTTCTACCCTTAAATATTATTCTCTACTTGGGTTAAATTAACATACCTGTATTATACATTCTTTTTTTAGTGTATACAGCAGTAAGTTAATATTTTTCTACAACCTTTATTATAATTTTCTACAAAATTTTTTATGTATTTGGCTACGCATTAACAGTTACAATCAGACAAAATTTGAATGCATTCTAATAAAATCAACAATAGTTTCACTTCGAGCGGGAGTGGCAAAACAATTTGAATAAATCGCATTGATAATGATAAAGTTACGAAATTTAAAGTATCTGCTAAACCATATTATTAATAAGTATGTAATTGAAAAAAAAAATTAAATAAGTATGCAACATATAATTAATAAGTATGTAATTTATAACATAACGAGATTATTAAGTTAACTTATTACATTATTTTTACTGACATTAATTTAAATGTTTGTTTTTTTTAATATTAAAAGTAGAGAAATTATTTTCTTAACAAAATTCCCCCGTCTACACTAAGAAAATTACAAATAATTCATAGATATAATTGAGGGGCAGAATCAAAACTGTCGTAGTAAACTTTATTTGAGTAATATGAATGAGTGAAAATATTTAAGTTCCAGTGAAAATATTCATGAGAAAAAAAATGGTATTTCAGAAACAGATTGCATTTTTGAAACCAAAATATCTTGTTCAGTTTTAACGTTTGATTACTTTATTGATATCCAAAAAAAAAAATGGGGTTACAAGCAGGTCCAGTCTTTTTAGTGTCCAAGATAAACAACTTCTAGAAGTAATGCATGCCTAAAAATTCCTAATATTCTTACTAACATAAAATAAAAAATTATTTAAAAAAAAATGAAGCTATTTGAGTCTGGGTAAAATATTGAACCTTAAGCTCTTCCAAAAGTATGAATTAAAAAATTTAAACTTTTTCATGGTTTAATACCATGAAAATATCTTAAACCATGAAAATATCTGAAGTTAATAGACAAATTAAAAATTTCGTTAAAAAATTATTTTTCGTTAAAAATTCAGAAATATCTACAGTTTTATATTTCCAAATTCACTCCAACAATTAAGTTTAACGGGGTTTTAAAATATCAACTTCCAAACGACAAGTCTAAATACTGCAAATAAATTTTTATTTTTTAAATATGCAATAAAAAGGTTTAAAAAACTTTTAGGGGCGCTAGTATTTTAAAGTTTGAGTAGGGTTGGCTCCGATCACTCGGATACATACACTTAAAAATATAGCGTGTTTTTTACGGAAAAGTTCCGGCAGCTGCCGATGACCAAACTAACCGTTAATTTACGGAAAAACCCATCGCATGTAAACGTTAACAAACGGATTTTTTCCGTTAAAATACAATGGATTTTTTCCGTTAAACAACGGCATCGCAGCTGCCTGAACTTTTCCGTAAATAAACGGATACTTCCGTTTAAATTAAACCGTTAAACAACGGAATAGTTGCAGCAACTCAGCTTACGGATAGTTTCCGTAAATAAAGGTAATGTTGCAGTTTATATTTCGTTATTTTAATCTACACATTAACATCTTACTTAAAATCAAATTTCTTGAAATTTAATAGGTATTCCAATATTTTTCTTTGCAAATAGGACAATCACTTTATCCATATAAAGTTGGCAAGTTACTATTTACTCAACTGATATAGTGGCCAAAGAGCTAAGACGATGTTGTAACATGCTGCTTTTTAAAAATGTTT